TGACAGTCTTTTTCAATGTTCACTTTTATATTTACATGCGTTCCATTACTAGTATTGAGCACTTTTACTGATAAATATAACATATATATATATATATGATTTATTCGAAAATTATAAAATAAATGTTATAAAATCACTAAAAAATAAACATTTTGTTTCAACAATTCTGGTGTCTTATCAAGTGATGGTGTTGAATGTAGAATAAAGAGTTTTAAATACATACACATAAACATATACACACATACAGAAGTACACGCAAATATATATATATATATATATATATATATATATATACGTATATAATCATACGCACACATACATATACAAGCGCATAAATATATAAACACGCATATATATATATATATATATATATATATATATATATATATATATATATATATATATATATATATATAAGAAAGAGATTGTAGTGGTTCCAACGAGAGAAAAGTATGTATATTAAAAAGAAGAGAAGAGAGGTGCCGCAAACGTTTTTCGTTGTAATGTGGATTTTTAATAAAAAAAATATTATGTTTTATTTTCCATAATTTTACTACACGTGTTTCTGGTCTCGTGACCGTCTTCAGGTAAACGCGGAGATTTCAACATATTATTAAAAATAATTAATTTTTTCGTTATGTTTTTCAATGTTAAATATTCTCGATATGAGACATTCTCTGTTTTTGTGTTAGTAATCTGAATGTCTTTCTTGAATTGGCAGTGAAGAGTTCTGCGCGAAGGGTCATAAAACAATTAAGGTTGGTCCATGATGAATTACTTATCGGCACTTCATCTTTTAATGTTTTACTGACCCTGTGCGTTCTTAGATCTGTTTCCATTTTCATGTGTTTCTGTCATGCAGGCGTGTATATATGTCTTCGTGCGTAGTCAACTCATTTGTACACATACACACCGTCCCACCACAAGGAATCAGTACATACAAACACACATACACACACATACACACACATACTTCCGAAGCTACATGGAGCCAGTATACACATACACATACATATACACACACATACGTACATACATACACACTTACTAAGTTGTGTGGGGTTTGTGTGCGTGCTCGTGAGTAGTTCCCTGTTTTGTCAACATGCGTATATATATATATATATCTATATATATATATATATATCTATATATATATATATATATATACCCAAGTATATAATTGGTATATACGGAATGAAATCCAATAACCAACAATTACTATTCTTAAAAGAGTGCTGAATACAAAGTAGAGCAGATATAATTATTTTTTATAAAAAAAAAAAATTATAACATAAGTATGTTATAAAATCACTACAAAAATAGCCATTTTGTTTCAACACACTCTGTGTCTTATCAAGTGATGATGTTGAAAATAAAATAAATGGTTTTAAAAGTTTTAGATTAATTAACGATCCTACACTAGGGGGAAACATTGTTACAAAAGCTAGAACAATCAATCAAAAACCAAGTATTGAAAGATTCAAAAGCTTGACAACGAAATCATGTTATAATAGCTATTCAGATCTTTAAAATACGTGTAATATTAAAAATAATTTATACTAACCAATAATTATAAAATTATATGATAAAATTTAATATTAAAATTAAAAACTGGCAATTTTAAAATCCAAATTTAATCACTATTAAGTTTAAAAACTACAAAATTATTGAGAAAAGAAAAAATATATATGTTTATTCAATTCATTTCTTCATTGAAATTACGTTCGACAAGACGCTACAATATATCCGGTCATTTGACAATACATGTATATATATTTTTTCTTTTCCCTTTCTTTTCCTTTTTTAATTTCGCGTTTAAATTTGTTTATAAAGTTTTTTTTCTTGTATTTGTAGGTACGAATAATTGTCTGTTTGATATATCGGCAAGATATTAAATTTACCCTGGTTGCACTTGAAGATGTGTTGTGATACAAAAAGTTTTCAGTTGTCTGGCAATGTTATATTGCTTTTGTGTATGGAGAACCTTTTGTTCAGTTGTTGGCTGACGCCTATACAGTGTAACCCGGATATAAGAGAGTTGTCGGGACCGGAGAAGTCTCTTATATCCGGGTTTCTCTTATATCCGGGTTTCTCTTATATCCGGGTTTCGTCTATTTTATATACATTAACACAGGCTCTAATTTGGGACCAGAGAAAATCTCTCTTATATCCGGGTTTCTCTTACATCCGGGTGTCTTATATACGGGTTACACTATATATGACGTCTGACATTTTGTGCATTATATATATATATATATATATGTGTATGTATAGTTGAATGTGTATGTGTTTATGTGTATAAACGAATATAAGATAAGACACTAGAAGTGTTGAAACAAAATGGCTATTTTTGTAGTGATTTTATAACATATTTAATAATTTTCGAATAAATAAATATATATATATATATATATATATATATATATATATATATATATATATTTGTGTGTGTATAATTGCTTGGATAACGTGGAGAATATTGCAAGTTATTCTTGCTCGTTGAATTTTATAGTTCCACGGTCGAAATAAATGCGAAATATTTGATTATATTTTCTGCTCAGTAATTATCCTTAAGTTGCACTTGAAAAGGGTTGCAATACATTCAACTCCCATGCTTTGTATATTTTTTGTGTCATACAAGAAAAATCAAAATTGATTGTGAACAGAGAAAGTCATCTCTTTTGAGTTGGTCATAGTGTGTTTCTTTGAACAAGAGAAGAAACATGTTACAATAATTGGTAAAATATTTTATTGGGAATCTCATTGCTTATTGACATGGAGATCGAAAAGCATTAAAAATGAGAAATAGGTAGAAAGTAGAGAACGTTAATGAACTGATAGAAAAAGGGCGAAAAGAAACTAAACCAATAGAAATTAATAGGGAAATAAGAAGAGATGAGAAAATAATAAAAATGTGTGAAAGATAAAGACAATGAAATTAAGAGTGACATTAAATGTTGGTTGAAAGTAAAAAGAATAAAGAAAATGTGTAGAAATATGAAATAAATTGATTGAAAAAGACAGAGAAAATAGGAGATGGGTACAAAGGGAGGAAAGAAGGAAGGAAAGCAAGAAAGAAAAACAGTTTAATATGTAAAGAGAAAGACCTGGGAATGAAGAAAATATACAAAATCTATGAAGAATAACTAGATAGAAGAAAAGGAAAATGAATTAAACGATTAAAAAAGAAAAGAGGAAAAAGAAAATTGTGTTAAAAATAGAATGGGTGATAGATAGATAGATAGATAGATAGATAGATAGATAGATAGATAGATAGATAGAAATGAACAGACTGGAATAGCTAGAAAGATAGATAAATACATAGAGAGATAACACACTGAGATAGATAGATAGATATATAGATATTAACATGCCGAGATGGATAAATATACGTACATAGATAGATAGATAGATAGATAGATAGATAGATATACAGACAGGCAAGCATATAGCATGAACTATATAATATATATATATATATATATATATATATATATATATATATATATATATATATATATAGAGAGAGAGAGAGAGAGAGAGATAGATAGATTATTTTCCTGTTGTTGGGAAAGTGTAGCAGATCTACTGGAAAATTGCTACCGTATTTAACGACAATCACGTCAACAAGAACAAACATTAAAAAAAAGATTCATGTTTTTTTCTCTTGATAAGTAAATAAACCTCTGATTGGAATTTCTAGCCAATTGGACAGTAATTGTTGATTACCTAAACGTTTGTCTCGCATTAAACGCGCTTGTGCACATATGCAGACGTTCTCCCGTGTATGCGCGCATGCGTAAATGACTCCTTTAAATGTTTGCTAATCGACGGAAAAGAAAGATGAAGAATGAATCGGAGGCCGCGCTAAGTAATTATTTGAACAAAATGAAAAGTAAAGGAAAAAGAAAATGTAGCTGGAAGATTAAAAAAAAAAAAAAGATGTTAAAAATAAAAGTAGACATAAATGTCTAAATTCGGTTAATATATATAAAAGTTATCAGAAGAAAGTGAAAGAGCAGAAAAGAAAGCCCTGGAATTAAGTGACTATAATGAAACTCTTTACATCCCCTTCCACGTATCCCTATTTTCTTACAAAGCCTTGTTATAATTGTTTGTGTGTGTATGTGTTGTGGGGGATAACATTAAATGATCTACATTCTGTAAACCGTATATTTCTACTGGCTAATTATAAGGTATGGATTTTAGAAAGAGTTAAAAGTGCTGTTTGGTGTCGCCATTATTGTTTTCATGCTTGTTGATGTTAGTTTTAACGTTTGCTAGATATCCAGATATTATATAGAGTAAGCACAAAAGAGAGAGTACAAAAAAGAAACAATCCAATGAAAACAGAATTATATAAGTCTCTTGATGACCTGACCAACATAAGTGGAAATTTTTTTTTTTAAAAAGGGGTAAACATCAGTAAATAATGTTTTCAGAGAAGCAGGAACGATGAACAGTCTGAGATGAGGGAGAGTTTAAAGAAGGGGAGTATAGAATTGTCGGGAGCATTTTATGGGAAAGTAGAGGGGGGGGCTTGTTCATGTGTAATTGAGTGTGTAAGTTAGAGCAATACAACAATGAAGTAATTTGAGTATGTTTAATAAAGGCAAGCTTCTCATTAACTCAGTTCTCCGTAAGGATTAAATTAAACGATTTATCAAGACTTCGAAGAAGAGGAAGATGTGGTTGTGTGTAAAAGTAATGCTGGAAAAAAAAAAGAAATATCAGCCGATATAATAGACGTGAGGACACGTTTGGAATTGAAATAGGCGCCAAGAAATCAATGATGGGCTCGAATAATACTCAAAGAGAAATGATGCCTATTTCATAAATCAGTCAAATGGCAGTTCAAGAGAGACGATATAAGATAAAGAAAATCATTAAATTGTGTATATTAATATCATATATTGAAAAGCTTTATTTTTTTTAAAAAAAGAATTGCTCATAGAAATTGCTTTATAATTTTTTTTTAGTTGACTCATAGAATTTGGGGGATGTTGGAAGGTTTTGAGCCTTCCGCGATAAGGCTGATTAAATCCGAACATTTACAAATTGCACTACTTTCATTATCTATCTATCTATCTATCTATCTATCTATCTGCTGCGGTGACCAAAATGATTTAAACATGTAGTATTTTATTGTTAGATTGTCTATTTACACTATTTATCTATTAAATTGTTTATTGGAATGGTGGAAAAACAGCGGTTAACTACCAATTGATTCGAACTTTATAAAATAAGAAATAAGGATTTATAATTGGTTCATATATTTTAATAATTCAGTAAATCTTTTTAAATTTATGAATAAAACATTGTTTTCATATTTCTTTATAATTTGATAAATTATAAATACTGCATTACATTAGTTTTAATTCTACAAATTTTTTGAATGTTATAAATATAAAATCATTCTTGTAAATGAACTAATAAATAGTGTTTAATATTTTTGTTGTAAATTCTCAAGAACAAAACTTAAATGTATAAATTCATTTTCATTACATCTTTCGGCTTTATAATTATTCTAATCCTGGCTTTTTAAAACAAGACAGAGCGTTAAAAGTGGTGTCATGGGGAAAAAAACATTCTTTTGACAGTCCGTTTTTTTTTTCATGTTTGCTTGTCTATCTATCTAGCTAAATTGTAAAGGCACTATGACGAAATTAAATATTCTGATAAAACACCTGAAAATCCACAAATGTCCTAAATGGGGTTTAGCATTGCTAACCGAACGCTCCTCTGTGGCCAAATCGGTTAAAGGCACGTCAGGCTAAATGACGGTTCCGTATAGGATACAGGCTCGAATCATGTCGGAGGATGAATATTTTCTGTGAAAATTTCTCGGACATTCAGGCCAGTAAATGTTGTTTAATACTGTTTATTATAAACAGAGCCTTTACTTAAATATTTGTATCTATAAAAAAGAATGTATAAACATAAAAATGTCTTAAAATAATTGTCGGACTTTGTCCATTTCATAATGTGTGACGTCATATATATGTAGAGAGAGAGAAAGAGAGAGAGTGTTAATACAGATAAAATTAGTCACTGAGCTGATTTTATATTAATTTGAAAGTTAATTCATGCGCTAGTTATCGGTGTGAGATTAATTTTTCTCTTTGTGTGTGCGTGTGTGTACGCATGTACGTATATATATATATATATATATATATATATATATATATATATATATATATATATCAATATTTGAGTAGTGATTTCGTTTTACTTTGGCATTTATTCCATCCATCGGCTTTCATACTCAAGAAAATATATTAAAGAAAACGTGTTCTCCGGTACGATTCGAACAGGCGTCCCCCTTTGCAAGCGAAACCCTTCTTTGATCCGGTGTGCTTTAACAGCTCGGCTACGAAGAGTTACACAATCAAGCAAGGTTCTATTTGCCTTTAAAGCACACTCACCCGTTCAAATTTTCTTGAAAGGCATCTCTGCTCAGTTTTGTATTTGAAACGTAAACAAAGTATTTTCTAATTAATTGGAATTCTCGAGAAAGAGTGTTGCATTGGTATTTAATCTTTTGCAAGAAACTTCAAAATTCCTTTTTATTTGCCAATTTTGATACTTCAAACTCACAACAGGACTATTAATGTGTGATTTAGAAACTCAAGACATTTCAGAAAAAAAAAAACGCTCGAGAAGACACTGAATTTTCGGAAAATTTTAAATCTACTAAAATACGGGTATCCATTTAAAATGTTTGACCTGATAAAATATGCCTGATTGAAAAATAAAATACATGAATTCTTTAGAAATATATAAACATCGTATCCCAAAAGTCACCAAGCGGTATGAAAGTTTAATAAGTTTTTGTTTTTAAACTTTTTATTTTTCAATCAGGTATTCTAAAATGAGGCTTTGGGAGTTTATCAAGTAAAAATAAAAGACTGAAATACGAATTCAAGTAGTGAATATTTCTACTAAAACCAAGGCTCAATAATTGAAACTCAACGAACATATCGTCGCCATTTTGGCGTGAGAGATTCTCCAAGTTTTGGAGTAAAGTAAGCGATCTTCCACGCAGTGGTATACCGCGTTCGGTTAGGAACGAAGTCATATTTGAGCAAGTAAGGGAGAGTACCAAAGAAGATCCGAACGCACAAACTTAAAATCGGGTTCGATAGGATTGAATCTCTCGGATGTAATTCTCATGAATTTTTAAATGAATCATTGTTTTTCCGTAAAACAAAATGGGTCAACAGCTCATATGACAAGGGCCACATACCAGCTTCTCAGGCAAATTTTTAGGAAAAAATATTTCCTCGTGGTTGTAACATAAACTGGTCAACACATTCCCCGGTATTGACAAGCCCTGTGTTCTTCGTATGCGGGTATCCCAAAAGAAAATTTTTATACCAACAAGCCTCAGATCCTCCAAAAACTGAAGGAAAACAGTGAGACAGATATCAAAGCACGAGATCCAGAAACACTGAGGTCTGTGATGGAAAATGCTTTAGAAAGGGCTCGTTAATACAAAGCTGAAAATGTTTCCATATTTAAATTTTACCTATTGGTCCCTTTAAGAAGTTTCCTGATTATATTAAAACATTTAAAAAAAATCTGTTTCTGATAACTTTATGTCTACTTCAACCAATCGGCAAATCATATTTAGATGCATCAATAATATATTTGTCGCTGTAATGTTCCCTAAGCATCGGTTGCATGACATTTCTAAGCGTCATTTTTTTTGACATGCAAAAATAACCCACACACTTCCACCGACTGACGTTATTTTTATATTTTGGCGTAGATCTGACGTTATCTGGTTAACTTAGACATACGCATAGGTATATTTGAATTCTGACCTTATGATCCCTTTAACTTCCGAAAAGAGGTATTGATTTTTTTTCAAATTTCTCTAATAAATCATTTTTATCACAAGTAATGTACTATCACCTGACGAAGTACAATCTTAGTTCTGAAACATGAAAGGTTTTGTGTAGCGCTCTAAAATGTTTTTTTTATTATACTTTAAAATAAATTATAATATATATATATATATATATATATATATATATATATATATATATATATATATGTGTGTGTGTGTGTGTATATAATTGAGAATTATCAGATGGAAATTAGACTGTAAGTAGTAAAATATATCGAAAACAATAAAACCAAGAATTACTATTCTCAAAATATTTAGTGTATTCTCAATGCAAATTGTACTTGAATCTCAGATAGCTACTATCTGTATGTTTTTCTAATCATGTTAAACTTTAATTTAACATTTATAGATAGCGTCTCACATTATAAAAACGTCATAATCATAAATAATTACTGGAATCTAAAGGTTTATTTTCTGGACAATGGAAGCATCTGTCTGTGTAGTTAGCATGTAAATAAACAGTAGCTTTTTTCTGAAATGTCTTGGATATTAATATAATAATTAATTGTCTGTTTGAAGTATTAAAACGCATCGTGAAGAACTTTACAAGTTGCAAAAGGTTAAAAAATGCAAAAAAAATTGCATGCAAAACAATTGCAAGAAGTTTCGCCAGCTACCACCGGACATTGGAAAGGTTCTTTAAAGTTCTTGGATGACTTTGATACCGGTTTGATGAGGACAAGTGGTGGACATTATCTCTATTCCGCATGAAGAAGAAATTACAGAAGTTTACTTTTGTCAATCTTTTTGCAGTAACAGATTTTCCAATAATACAAGATGTCTACCTCTAAATTAAGTGACAAAACATGAAACCACCCACTAGATCTTCTTAATGAGACAATCATAAAGCAACACGGATGGAGTTGGTTGTTGAATACATGGAAACCGATTTTTCAGCCATCCTTTTCAGAGACAAATGAAGTGATACGCTTCATTGTCCAGATAGTTGAAACAAATGCCACGTGGCTACTGTCACAGCTGAAGATCTAGTCGTGGGATAATGGATTTTAAGATTTCGATTGTACCACTTTTTTTAAAAATTGGAAAAAATAATTTATACTTTACACCACACCATCCACTTCACAGTTACCATTTGATATATATATTGGGTCCACGGAGGGCAGTTTATGATAAAATTTAAGGTATTAAAATTAAAAATCGAACCACATTAAATCAGCATCTGCATCCAAAGCCTAGCATTACTTTTTGACCAGTGACAATACCTACTGTATTATTTTCAAAATGCAATTTATACACTGGTTTCGGAAATATTTCAAACTTTGGTAAATATTTGCAAAATTCGTTTTTTAATCAAGAAATTTCATTTTTAATTGTAAGTGCTATTATTATGGCGATTTTCAACCACTTATATGAAAGACCTTTAAATTAAAGTCTGGCACTAAAACCAACATTGTCCAAAACTGAGCTATTAAAAAACTCTTTTGACTGATGAAAATATCCACGTTTTACTGAACCCTTTGAAAGTAATCAAAGTGAATTTGTGATATCATTTGTATTAAATATACAAAAAACTTTCATTCACACTAATGATTGTATATACAGTAATGAACTCGCCTGTCCATTTGAGATTATCTCCCCTTTATATGCGTGAATTTGTGAATGAATGTTTTGGTATATCCATTTAATAAATTCTACCCATGTCATCACGGAGTTACGTAAACAACGATTTAAGAATAATCGTAAAAACAACAAAAAATAAAGTCAAATAAATAATTATACACAATTTGGTCATTGTCTTAGCGTTTTCTTATTCTCAATTTGAGGTGTTAAATTAATGACGGCGCCATATTGTCTATTATGATGTTTATTTTTTAAAACGAAATTTTAATAAATAGATAGGAACACAAATCCTCTCCACAAAGCAGTTCGATACAAGAAAAACTTATAAAAAAAAAAAAAAAAATCTGTTCCAGTTCTTTCTGATGTGTGTGTGTGTTCATCTTTAAAAGTAACAAAAAATGCTCTCAACACCCCTTTTTATATGGAAAAAGGAAAGATTTACAATATTGTGTTTTAGTAATTATATCTTTTGATAAATCACATACAACTTTAGTGAGCCACATTTTTTTTATGGTATGATTATTTTACATTATTGATTTGACTTAAATTCCAATCCAATTCCAATCCAATTCCAATAGCTCAACGTTATTTTTGTACCAAATACAAATGCCGTCTGGAA